AGACTGCTTCGTGCTGAGCCAGCTGGTTGGGGAGCAGGGCCACGTCACCGGGATAGACATGACCGAGGGCCAGGTACGGCGTGGAGCGGGGGGCTTCCCCTCGTCCCCTCAGCATCCCCCTGCTTTCATTCCCTGCTTCCTCCCAGGTGGAGGTGGCGAAGAAGCACATTGCCTACCACATGGACAAGTTTGGCTACCGAAAGCCAAATGTGGAGTTCCTTCAGGGATACATGGAGAAGCTGGGTGACGCCGGGCTGGCCGACGAGAGCTACGATATTGTCATGTAGGTACCATGCAGGGCACTGCCACCCCCGGTCCTGCTGCCACCAGGGGCCGTGGGCTGGGGTTCGGGTCCACGTCCCACCAGGTCTGCTCGCTTCAGGAGTACACGCTAGGAAAGAGAAAATCCCGAGGCAGAGTCTAGGCTAGAGGCTGGGAATATAGAAACTGCCCTTTTCGTGGTCAAATCAGCATCTCCAAACCCTGCATGAAGTGATGAGATGTGCAACATCTGATGGATGTGCAGCAGCCAGTGATACTGAGCATGCAAGAGGGTGAAAATGAGCCTCGGTCTCCTCATCCCCAGCTCCAACTGTGTGGTCAACCTTGCCCCGGACAAGAAGGCTGTGCTGCAGGAGGCCTATCGCGTGCTGAAGGTAACACCAGGGCCAGCGCCTGTGGCGGGAGCGGAGCGGGGTTGGGGTGGCCTGCTGTTGGGGTGCCACTGGGATGCAGCAAATGGGGTCCATCAGGGTGGGGACGTGGGACAGGGCCAGGGGAGGGCACCTCTGCAGAGGGTCCCGGAGCAGGGTAGCACTTGGGGGTGCTGGGTTCTCCCTGCCCTTTTGTCCCATTGCTTCTTGGTGTCTCCTTTCACTCCTCACTGCCTTCCAGCCCGGGGGAGAGATGTACTTCAGCGACGTCTATGCCAGCCGGCGCCTGAGCGAGACCGTCCGGAAGCACAGGGTGCTGTGGGGTGCGTAGGGCTCCGGGATGGGGGTGGCATGGGGTGGGGGGACCTGCCCTTTGCCTCCATCACCCATGTCCGTGGTCTCATGCCAGCGGAGTGCCTGGCGGGAGCCCTGTACTGGAGAGACCTGTACAGCATTGCCGAGGAGGTGGGGTTCAGCCCCCCATGCCTGGTCACCGCCACCCCCATCACCGTTGGCAACAAGGAGCTGGAGAGCATCATCGGTGAGGGTCCGACCAGGGAGCATCGGCTTGGGGCAGCCACGGGGAGCTGTGCTGGAATCCCAGGCTCTGCTGGTTTCCAGCCTGGGTGCTAGGTGCCCAGCCCACCAACCTCTCCCTCGCAGGCGACTGCCGCTTCGTGTCTGCGACTTTCCGCCTGTTCAAGGTGCCGGGTAGCAGCCGGGCCGGCCCGGGACAGGTCGTCTACAACGGCGGCATTGTGGGGCATGAGCGAGAGCTGGTGTTTGACGCCAACTTCACCTTCAAGGTGCGGCGTGGGGCTCCCCTGGATGCCGAGCAGTCCTGGTCTGTAGGGCTGGGGATGGGGCAGAGCTGACCAAGCAGCGCTGCTTCCTCTGTGATTCTGGGGGTACCCTTTGGTAGGGGGGGGGGATGGGAGCAGGGGGGCTGTTTAAACCAGGGGAGCTGCAAACAGGGACAGGAAAGGGAGCCAGACCTGTGCATTGCATTGGGGTGGAGGTGGGAGCAGGAAGTCTGTGGTGGCCTCACAAGGGGGCTTGGAGCCAGCTGCTTGGTCATTATGGTGCTTTCTCAAAGTTTTGGGTCGGGCTATGCCCCTGCTTTTGTCCCCCACCCATCCTCTGACTGGGTGTGTGGGTCCCCTCGGCCGTGTATCCTGGACCCCAGCCCTGTGACCATCATTCTGTCCCCAGGAAGGAGAGGTGGTGGATGTGGATGCTGAGATGGCCGCAATCTTGCAGAGATCTAGGTTTGCAGAGGAGTTCCTGATCCGAGCTGGTGGGGGCAATGCTGCCGCACCGCAGGGCTGCTGTCGCAAGGGGGTGAAGGTTGGTAGCAGGCAGCTCCACAGCTGGCTTCAGGGATGGGGTCATGGGTGTCCCGTGCCATCAGAGTTGCCCTGGGGTATCAGAGGGGCTGTGGCACGCCGCCGAGAGTCCTTCTGGGCCAGGCAGGAGCCCATGGGGCACTGAGGGTGGTGCCTGGTGCCTGAGTGTGGGCCACTGCACCCCAATGTGGGTTGGAGCCCTCCTAAGAAGGGGTCTGCCCTAACCACCAGGCATCAGAGCCCCTTGCACCCCCCAACAATTGTGTCCACGGGGCTGCAGGGGCTGACAGCTGGACCTGCTTACTGTCTCCCAAGGGGAGACATCCTTCGTCCAGGAGATGGCTGGGCAGAGCCTGCCTCAGGGAGGTGAAGGCTCGTCCTCGTGGCTCCTTCCTCCCCGCCTCTCTCCCAGCACCTCCCAGCAGCTGATGTGAGCTTGTCCCTGGCTCCCAGCCCTGACCCCGGCAGCGCAAAGCACTTCTATCTGCTGGAAGCCTCTCTCCTCCTCCCCTCGGTGGTCCTTCCAGCTTGCAGATGGGCCAGGAGATGCCGGGAAGTGGGCATCCTCAGTACATGAGGGAGATAACGCCCTGCAGCTGCATGTCCCTGAAACGCAGCCTTGTACTTGGGGAGGGGGAGATGTTCTTGGGTCCCTGTCCTAGCAGCAGGCATTTCTCAGATAAAAGCAGAGCCAAAGTCCCAGAGAAGCTCTTGGCTTCCTCCTCCTGCCAGGGAAAAGCGGCTCGAGTGGCCTGGGGGCTGCCCCCACGTTAGCCATGGAGGGTCTGCTTGGGCAGGGAGCGGGTCAGGGGAGATGCCGCTTTCCTGAGGTACCTCTGGCTTCCCTCTGGCCCGATCCTACCCCGGGT